CCCCAAAACCCCAAAACCCCAAAACCCCAAAACCCCAGAGTATTAAATAAGTATTGAAATATTTATAAAATCTGGCTAAATGGGAGACAAAGGGAATATTAAAGGCTGTAAAACTTATGTTATACTGCTGATTATCTACTCATGACTTGGGTTCATTACCCTCTTGGTTCATCTCTGATATTCAGTCAAATTCTTCAGAATGTTTAGGTTTAAGCACAAGTTGACAAGTGTTTTTATGATTTTTCTTACTTTATCTATTATATGTGACTTCATTTATGGGGTATCAGAAGTATGACTCAGATTTGTGGATACATGTAATGGGAATGGACATTATTGTACGAGCTATTGGACTAGTTGGATAAACTATTTTATGTACATGAGCACTATCATAGTGCTTTCGTTCGTTTACATTTCCCAAACATTGAGGTTTAAAGATAGAGGAAGAAGAACACAGAGGATTTATGATATTATTCTATGGACCACCATGTTTGTTATTTTAGTGATATGTACAGCAGTATTTATTGTTGACGGTGTGAAAGAATGCATAAAAACAGATCCAGACGAGCATAAACCAATTACAATTGGAATAAAAATTATAAGCTGAATTTATATGGTAACTGGCATCTTCTTCATGATCACCTTGATATGGTTTTACAGAGCTCTTAAGAAAGTAGAGACAAATACCAATGGTGTAAAACTATATAAATAAGCTAAAATGAAGATTGGCGGTTAGTATCACAGTCATATTTGTAGTCTTTGCGACGAGAAGTGGCTTTACTCTGGTCAGGAGTTTTAATGATTTCACAGCAGGCTGGAAAGAAAAATCGATGGAAAAGGACAAATTTGATTATGCTTTATATATCTTCTGATATTATTTCTTTTTGAGTCTGGTCCCAGCAATAGTCCAGATTTATTTAATAAAACTAAGTCTATCTTCTAATTCAAGAGTCACCATTAAGCTTAAAGAGTATAATTTTGAGACAGAGTCTTGGCTTTCTAGTAATCATCAAGTGCTTCGAAGTGTAAGTGTAATAACCATTACCAAATATAGTGAATAAGTGGATCAGGTCAAACAGAAAGTTTAATTGAGCATGATAATAATACTTCTTTAGGTTAAATTATTTTCAATATTATTTATACTTCCTGGGGTTTTGGGGTTTTGGGGTTTTGGGGTTTTGGGG